CTCCTCCCTCTCCCCCCCGCCGCTGCCACCGTCGCCGCCGCCGCTGCCACCGTCGCCGCCGCCGCTGCCACCGTCGCCGCCGCCGCTGCCACCGTCGCCGCCGCCGCTGCCACCGTCGCCGCCGCCGCCGCCACCGTCGCCGCCGCCGCTGCCACCGTCGCCGCCGCCGCCCTCGACCAGCGAGGTCGTCGCGTAAAAGTCGGCGATGGCGGCGGCGCGCGGCTTCGAGTAGACGACCTGAGGCGAGGCGAGGGGTGGGCAAAGCGCGCCGGGGCCTGCGCGAACCTCGGCGCATCTCGGAGCATCTCCACCCGTCGCTCAGCCGCTAGCTAGCCTCCTCCCAAATCTCAGCCCATCTCGGCGCATCTCGGCGCATCTCGGCCCATCTCGGCACCACGTCGCGGTGGATTCCGCTCAGCCACCACTGGTCCTGGTCCTCGAGGTAGGACGCGTCCGAGAAGCGGACCACCTGGGCATGTCCGAGAAGCGGCCGCCAATCAATCAATCGATCGATTCGTTCCTTCAATCAGTCCATTGTTTAAGACGCGGACCACCTGGACCGATAGCGTGTGCCGGCCCGCCTCGCCGGCGGCGCACGCGTCGGTGACCTGCAGTGGGAGCACTCGGTGCGTCTCGGGCGGTCGCACACTCCCTTGCTGGCGGCGGGAGGGCGGCAGAATGCTGCTGGAATACGGATCCCGTGGCCGTGTCGTCTCGCTGGGATGGTGGCGGAGCATCTGGTCTTGGATTTCGTCAAACTCAAAGGGCAGCTTGCCTGCTCACAGCCGCACGTGTGAGGTGGTGCCGCCCGCAGCTCGCGGCAGTGAGCGAAGCCGAGGCACTGGCCACCGTCCTGAGAGTAGCCCACCTCTCGCCCGTTGAGCCACACCGTCACCGCGCCTGCTCACACCGGCGGCCGTGAAGAAGCAGTGCTGACCGTCACCGAGCCTCGCGTCGCCGCTCGAGTCGCCGTCGACGCCGTCGAACCGGAGCAGCGTCCGCCGACCCGCCCAGGCGCCCGGAAGGGAGAAGCTTGTCTGGTAAGTGCCTACGCCATCGACGCACGGCCCATTCGGTGGTTGATCTGAAGCTGAAGGGCAAAGGGTGGTGGAGGACGGGGCTGCGTGCCGACGGCGTTCCCCTCGGCAGGCACGTTGGGAGGGTCCACCTGCGCACAGCTCGAGGTGTGCGAACGGCGTCTGCTCCACACCCCGGCGTGCGGCGCTGAGACGGCCCCCACCGGGAAGGGGTACACCGTGTTTGTGTAGATCGGGCGGCCAAACCCGGCCGTCTCCCACGAGCAAGGCACGCGGATGGCAGACCAGTCGGCGGCGTCAAAGCCGCGCGCGCGGGCGGCGCCGTCCGGCAGCCGAGGCGCCTCGTGCACGTGCTCGACCAGGCTGAAGGCCCACTCGGCCGGCGTGAGCCGCATCACCCACCGCGACGTCGGCGGCCTGCGGGCGGCGGCGGCGGGCGCAGGGCGGAAGGGTGTGGCGCGAGGAGGAGCACGCCGGGCGTGGCGAGTGGTCGAGACGCGAGACGAGGTGAAGCGGACGAGCGAACAGGGAGAGAGCAGCATTGAACGCGAGGCGCATCATGCTATGTAGAATTGTGCACACGCCTCAGCGTCAGCGGACAGCCGAGGGCTTGCGCGGCGGTCTCCCAGCAGTGAAGCGGCGCGTGCATCGGCTCACGCGAGGCGGAGACAACCGTCTCGTCGCACCACCGTCGGCTTTTTCCGCTCATCTTGACGAGCAGCGAGGCGCCGCGAGTCGAACGCCGTCGTGAAACTGCTTGAAAAAAGAAAAAAGTGGACGGTCTTATCTTTTTAGTATGAGAGTTTGGTTAGGTATGTGTGCAAAGACGCGCGACGATATACTTTACGAATTTATTGAGAAAAACTCCAGCGGCGCTCTGAAATTCTACGACTGCGGACGCTCTGAAGCGGGCCCTCCCGTGATCCGCTCGCCGAAGACCCGAACCTCGGTTCTGTGCATGGCCAGCTCGAGCTCGACAAAGATGACGGCGAGCACGAGCAGTTGGTAGAGGTGCACGCGTGCTCCCGGCACCTGCGATAACACGATGTGGGAGGAGTTAGCCTTGCGCGTGGAGTCGGTGGCGAGGGCGAGAATGCACCGTGACGGGCATCTGCCTCGCCATGTCGGCCGCCTGCGCCTCGAGCGCAGCAAAGTCGAGCCGCTGCAGCACCCGATCGACCGCCTGAGAGAGCGCTCGCTCATCCCGCGCCCAGGACTGGGCGGCAGCCGTGAGCTTCTCAGAGTCGAGCGTCCAGGAGCAAAGGAGCGCACCGCCCATCGCTGACATCCCAGTGCTGGACAGGAAGTCGACCAGCATGCTGCGGAAGACACGTAGCGTGCCCTCGGCCTTGCACACGACAGGGTATCGGCATATTCAACTGTAAAGTTAATGGGGTCGCCGTTCACACCGCAGGTGCACGCGCGCTCATGCGCGAGCTGCAGTTCCTCATGCACTCGGCAGGCACCGCGAAGCGCTGGCGGAGGGAAGGCGTGCGCTGGATCCTGTTCTTCCAGGCTACACTTCGCTGCACCTCGGCCATACTGGAGCTAACCTCCGCGGCTGACGCCATCTCGCTTATTCTCGTACAGGAGACGAGCCTGAAGCGGCCCCTCGCCGGCTCCGCCTCGGTCATGCTCCTCGGACCGTGGCCGCGCCGCGGCGGTGATACTCCAGCCAACGCTCGGCGGCGGGTGGCGTTCGGCGGCAGCTGAGGATTCCCTCGGAGGCGGGCTTTATGGAGGCGCTTTAGAGAGGCATGTGGGCGCCCTCTAACCCGCTTTTTTTTGATATTATGCGCGCTCTGTGTGCGTACAGCGAGCTTGCTAACATGTTTCTTCCGCGACACACTCAGTGGTCACAGGAGCCTGATTCTACAGCACCCCCTCGTTGGTCGACGGACAACCATTCGCATCCCGCCTTCCCTCACTCACCTTGCTAAGAGCTGAGCCCAAGCATTGAGCGGAGCCCCTCGTTGAGGGGCAGCGACAGCATGTACAGCGGGGCTAGTTTCACGAAGAGCGCCGTTGAGCCGCGGTAAAAGCCGGCCTCCTTCAGGAAGGGGAACCCGAGACCCTCCTGGGACATGATCGTAGTGGCGCACGCGATAGGCGACGCGAACTTGCCCGGCTCTGCCAGGTAGCGCGTGGTGACGACATCCGCCGGGGTCGCGCACACGGTGGACCCGAGTGCGCCCATGATGGAGGCGAGGATCTGCTGCATGAGGCCTACGGATGCGCCACAGGCGTGTGTCGCGACTTGACGTGTGCGACCTGTCTTCTGCGGCTCGAGTGCCCTCGGGAAGGACTCCCGAAGTGGCCGTCTTGAAGCCGTCATACCCAAGCTGATTGCCCGCAGAGAGCGTCGCGCCGCGCACCACCAGCGGGCCCGAGCCCTTGAACCAGCCGCCGATGCCGTCCTTCTTTGCTACGGCGGCCATACCGGCGATCCAGCCGTTGGGCGAGGTAGGTGCAGAGCCCGCCTTGGCGCCTGTGGTCAGCAGGCCCGACTTTGGGTCGACGAGCCCCGCCTCGGCCTGGATGATTGTCTTTTGCGCGAAGACGGGCGTGGCAATGAAGTAGCCGATCGCACCCGCGAGCAGCCCCGAGATGAACATGTCGCCCGGCGTTGGCTTTGCGACGTCACCACCGCGGGCGCCAACGAAGACGTCGCGCACCGTGGGGTAGAGGCCTACCCTCCCGATCGCCGACACGCCGATCGCCATGAAGTTGACCGATATGCCTGGCAGCATGATTCCTGAGAGAGGGCAAGAACCTGTGAGATTGTGCGGGCTCAGTGCGTCGGCGGCGGATCCACCACCTCGCATCACGCCCTCCTTGGCCACGATCTCGCTCGCAAAGCCACTCATGTTGGTCGCGGTGCGCATGCTCTCGGGCGTCACCTGCCAGCGCACCTTGACCAGCTCGAGCGGATTGGTGACCGCCGCGCCGATTCCGGCCGAGAGAAAGGAGGCAAAGAGGCCGCGCGCGAAGAGGAAGGAGGGCTCCTGATGGCGTCAGTAAGCGACCCTTGGGTGGCGGTGCGAATGGAGTGCACGGCCAGGGTAGGGCGGGGTCTGGCTGCGCATAAGGCCAGAAGGAGCGACGTAGCAGGACTGTATATCGCTGTGTGGTGGTCGAAACGGCGTGGGCCAGAAGGAGCGGCTAGCAGGACTGTATATCGCTTTGTGGTGGTCGAAACGGCGTGGGCGCTGTCAGGCTGGCAGTGGCGTTGGCGGTGCCTTCGTGCCAGCCGCCGCCTGGTGGGGCGGAGGGATCTCGTGGCCGAGCTCGCCAATGCTCCCTTTATGAGCGAGCTGTTTCTTTTTGCCGTACACGTCGTCGTCCGGTAGGCAGCTCAGCGCGTGAGGCAGACCGTCGAGACCCATCGACAGTGTGCAATGTCCGCCGAACGCGTCGGCCGTCCCTCTGAATCTGGAATCCAACTGCTGAAATCGCACGCAAGTGGCACCGGGGGTCAGCTGTGCGCTGTGAAGGTCGGCCAAGCAGTTTTTCGTTGTATGTGGCTCTTACGTACATTCCCGGAGGAGGACTGCTGACAGGGTTTGCGATGAGGAGTGACCCGAAGGGTTTCTCGGGGTTGGTGCACCACTAACCGCCTCTGCAAGAGCACTGCGCCTCAGCGGGCTCATACTAGCACCCACCTCGCAAGCCGGACTTCTGGCTCGACGAGGGTCGAGGCTGCTCCGGGCACTGCGGGGGCCGGGGCACACGGCGGCACGGGTCACTCCTCAACACAAAAAACCCCCCGTCGAAGCACGAGGGGTCGAGGAAGTAACAACTAACAAGTATATGTGAAAAAGAAAAGGGCGCGAAGAAGTCAGGTGTGTGTGTTTAAAAAGGCGGCGCGGCACGCGGTAAGGGGTCGGCGGTACCGTAAGCTAGGGGCGGCGCGGCGGCAACAGACGGCATTTTTATGCTTTCAAAACCATCATCCTACATCGCTCTTGATTGCTCACGACACCCGTATGACCGACGGGTCGTCCTCCAGCGCCGAGTTGAGCGAGAGGTGCTTCCCGAAGAAGGCCATGAGCAGCGCCGCCTGTTCACACCCTCGCGCGCCGTGAAGAGCCGCCCTCCACGCCCCGCCGACCCGCCGCCGAAGGGCCGAGCCCCAGCGGCGAGGCATACTCGCCCGCCGGCCCAACCACGCACATCTCGGGCCGATCTCGGAGAGTGAGGAGAGGAGAGGAGAGGAGAGGAGGGGAGAGGAGAGTCAGGAGAGAGCAGTGAGGAGTATTGGCTGTCACAAGAGCCCACCTCGTTCGCGGACCCGACCATGCCTCCGCCTCGCCCGGGCAGAACCTCGAGCGTGCACTCCGCCACGCTCCCCTCCTCCGCCACGCTCCCCGCCGCCCCGCCGCCCGCCGCCCCGCTCGCCACCGCGCCGCCGCCGCCGCCGCCGCTTCTCGCAACCTCTGCCGCGCCCGACGTCAGCCGGGAGAGCAGTTCCCTCGCGAACGGCGTCAGCGGGTCCCGCTCACCGACGACGGCGAGGACGGGAGTGCGGACGACGGCGCCGGCCGGCGGCGGGGGCGCCTCTGGTAGCGGCAGCCCGCACCAGCTGACACAGCCTCCGAGCCGGCAGGGCCCGCCGCCCGCGAGGCCGTCGAGGTGCTGCAGCAGATCGAGCGCGACGGTGCCGCCGTGCGCGTACCCGAAGAGGAAGATCCGCTCCGGGCTCCAGCCGCACTCGCGCACGAGCAGCCGCAGCACCGACAGCAGCGGCGCCCTGCTCGCAGCTCGAACGGTGAGAGGCGCCGTGTTCACGGCTGGCGCGACGCGGCGGTGGAGAGAGTCGCCGCGCGTCGCGGGCGAGCGAGAGCGGGCGGCGCTGGTCGGAGGCGTCCGCGCCGTCGATCAGGCGGCCGTCCGCCTCGAAGCTCTCGAACCAGGCGCCACCCTCGATGCCGAGCGGCAGCGGCAGCGGCGCCGCCAGCGCGAGCGCAGAGGTCTGAGGGAGCGCGAGCTTTGCGCCGAACCGAGCGTACATGTCGGGCGCGTCGCCGAGGCCGTGCAGCAGCAGCAGCAGGTTGGGCGCGTCCCGGGGCAGGCCATCGGCCCACACGCCGCGCCGAAAGCCGCACCGCGAGAGCGCGGCCGCCGTCGGTGGCACGCGAGCCGCGGCGGCGGCCCACACCCACCGCGACGGGTTCTCTCGCAGCTCGAGGAGGGAGGAGGTGGAGCCGGCCGCGGAGCCGGCCGCCATCGCGAAAACAAAGAAAAAGTCCGCCTGAACCACTTCACAGCTATAGACACCTCACTAGACCCCACATACGGTCTCGTCCGTGCCTCGCAGGCCGGTGAGATTGCTAGAGGTGGAGCCAGCTGCTCTAGCCTCACATATCACTTCCTGTCGTCTGTTGTTTGAGTTGTGCCCTTGTTTGTGCCCTTGGCACCGTGGAGTGCTGGGGGGGGCGACAGGGAGGATGTGGCCCTGAGTTATGTGTACGCCGACTCAGGGTGTGTGGCAGCCAGCTGGCTGTGTGTCTTGTGAGCTTGTTTGTGTCTGTGTGTCGCTCGTGCGTGTCGTCATCATCTGTCTAGCGTCCACCCATACCGCGTTGGTGTCCAGTCCGAGCCTGGCTGTTCTTCACCTTACTACCTACCTACCTACAGCTATGCCTTGCTCCTTTAGGTGCTCTTTAGTATGTTCTTGAACTCACCCGTCCCTGACTGGCTGAGTACACTCCCTTCCTATTGTCTTGTACTCGGCGTCCTGTGGGTGTGTTCATATTTTTGCCACAGGGACCTTTTGGTAGCCACTCTTTTTGAAGATCGCCGACCCCCGATTCGGGACGCCTTCATCGGCTGCAGCCGAGTAGTCGCATGGATGCAGCTGCACTATCTCGCACCCACGGATCTCTCGCCGTGAATGAATGTGTCCGAGGGTGCATTGTGAGGACCTCTTGCCGTGAGGACCTCTTCGCTCTTGCAGCCATGAAGTGCCATGAGCTTGCCCACACACGCCACAGTGCTTGCGGTGGCGCTGCGGTCAGGCAGCCAGTGCATCACACTGCATGCAGTCAGAAAGAAGGCTCTCGCTCGGCGTGCAAAGGACGCCGGAGCAGCAAACCGCAACCAACGAAGTGTCACTGAATAGGAAGCAATTTAGTTGGGTCCGGTGGGAAGTGCGATTGAGCTCTGTGAACGTTTTTTTCTTTTTATTATTAAATAAGACGGTACAGCCGATTTTTTGCTCAACATCGGATGTTTGTCGACAAACTCATGCCAGAGCTCCTGCTGCTCGCGGGTTGGTCCGGTGGGGGGGGCGGGGCCGGGCGGGGTGGATCGGGTCGGGTCGGGTTGGGGCGGGGTTGCTCGGGTCGGGGGGGGGCGGGGTTGTGGGGTGGGGTGGGGATGTCGGGGTGGAGAGTGGGTGGGCGCCGGGGTGGGAGTGGTGTGACTGCTCCTGTGGTGCGGGCGACGGCTTCAGGAAGCCGTCGCCCGTGGCGAATCGATGCGAGCGCGCCGCGTGCTCCACGCGCGGCGCGCTCGTATCGACTTGGGAGTCCAATGCGCGCAGCGGGCGGGTAGCACCTCGGGAGCTCGCTCTACCCGTGATGCGGAGAACTGCGGCCCACAGGAGCGAGAATCTATCAACCACGTCTGCGCCTCGCCTGTCGCGTGAATCGTGTCGTGCGACCGCGTTGCGTTCGAAAATTCTTTTTATTGCAAATTCTTTTATTGCAAATTCTTTTGCGCAAATTCTTTTTATTATTGGTGTGGCCGCTGTGCCGGCTCGCTCATGCTCCTGCCCTGTCCGGCACCTCCGCTGCACCTTCCGCTGCTGCTCGCCGCTGCCGCCGATTCACCGCTCCTCGCTGACGCCACACCAGCAGCGGCAGCCGCGACCGCCGCCGTCGCGGCCGCTGACGGCCCCGCGCTGCAGCTGCTCGAGTTTGCGCGTGAGTTTGCGCGCGAGGGCGTGCCTTACAGCCCGTCGGTGATCGGCCCGGCGCTGAGCGAGCTGCGCGAGAGCATCAACGGTGTCCTCCTCGACGTGCGGCTGCTTTCGCTCTACCTCAACGCGGGCGTGTTTGCGCTCGCGCTGATCTGCGGCCTTCTGCTCGGCGACCAGTCGCGGCCGGATCTGCCGCGCGACGAGCGCGAGGGCGACGACGGCCTCTACCGCACGATGCCGGCGGCGAGAGCGGCCACGTGGGACCGTGGCGGGCCGACCTTTCGCGGCGGCGGCAGAGGCGCGCTGTCCGAACGCAGCTCTTTGCCGCCGCCGCCGCCGGCGCAAAAGTTCGTGGACGAGCTGCGGCCGTCGCGTGGTGCCTTCACCGCCGTCTCCGCAGGTCGAGAGTGTGATCAAGGTGTGAGCCGTGAGGAACAACTGATTGAGCGGCCGTCACCGCCGTCCCCGCAGGCCTGTGGGTCGAGTTCGTTCTCTGCGTCGCTCTCGACACGCTCGGCACCGCGTCCTACTTTTACCCGCTGGGAGAGTTTGTGGACGGCGGGGAGGCCACTTCCTAGACCCTTCCTGCACCCTTCCTAGACCCTTCCTAGGCGAGTTTGTGGACGGCGGCTTCGCCTTCGCCTACGCCTTCGCCATCGAGCTCTTCTTCGACTGGCCTGCGATGGCGCTGTTTGGCTTTTGGGAGGAGGCGCTTCCGTATACGGACGGCATCCCCAGCCCGCCACCCCCGCCTGGGCTCGCCACTACTGTGACCGTGATTGCTCTTCTCCTCGCTGTGACAATAGGCATCCCCAGCCCGCCACCCCCGCCTGGGCTCGCCACTACTGTGGCCGTGATTGCTCTTCTCCTCGCTGTGACAATAGGCATCCCCACCGCCACCCTCGCCTGGGTCCTCACCGTGTGCGGCGTGCGGTACGCCATGCAGGGGCGCACCGCCAGGGCGGGCGTGCGCCAGGGGAAGGACCGAGGCACTTTGCTGCTCGTCGACCGGCTGGCAAAGGGGCGGGGCGAGGCGCTGCGAGAGAAGCGGCCGGCTCGCTGGTTCGACGACCAGTGGGGCTATCTTGACGACCCCGCCGCCGCCAAGGGGGCCGACACGAGCCCGATCCTGCGGGACCGCTCCGGCAACGCGCTGCCGTGACCGGCTGACCGCGCTCGGGCCGGCGGGCGTAAGGGTCGAGCTACTTGTTGGGTGAGCAGCACGATGTTCACGTCGTGACGGCTTACGTCTCTGGCGTGGTCTACGGTATCCGTCGCGCAGCGACCCCGCGACACTGGGGGGAGGCGCGCTTGTTCTTCGTTGTTCGTCTCACCGCGCGGGACACCGTCGAGTGTCACGCCGCCACCTAGCACTTACTTTTTGAGACACTTTTCGATCAAAAGAACATGCCAGGCGCGCACACATGCGCCATGCCACCAATGTGCCGTCGCGGGAGTGAGAAAATACATGCACTGGCCACTGTCCTATCGCAGTAGAGTCTCTAGGAGAAAAGCCGTCGAAGTACGAAGACGAAAAGTGCTCCCCCCGCGCAAGCGAGTGTGCCCCCCGGGGGGGGGGGCGGAGGGTCCGCAGCGGTTACAGCGTCCAAGGCGGCGACGTCGGAGTGCACCCTCGTCGAACGAGTTTGCCGCGCCTCGCCAAGGGTCCCCATGGGGGTACAGACGAGGAGGGGGGGCGCACTGGAAGTCACCTCCAGAGCTCCAGCGCCTCGCCGCCTCGTCGGGCAGAGACCGCCCATCACCAGGTCCCCTCCGAAGCGGCTCCGAGGAGCGTTTGAGAAACGTCCAGCTCGAGGCAGCGCATCACCAGATCGCGCACCTCGAACACCGCTCGGTTTGCCTCGGCGCGCGCTCGCACCGTGGGATGGCACCGACGCACTGCCTGGGACATGCAGAGATGCGGGGTGTTGGCAGGACGTTTGTGTTGGTAGTCTGCGTGGCGATCGAGGAGTGAGCCAGGGTTGGGCAAGCTCGCGCACCTCGCAGAGGTCGGCTGGCGGCGAGGAGAGGTCGTCGACCACGACGCCAGCGCCCACCTCCTCCACCCACTCGAGCACTTTCTTCTCCTGCGCCATCACGCCACGCCGCTCGCTCACGAAGGCCGCGCCGCTTGCCAGCGCCTCCGAGACGGTGCCTGGGCCCGGCTTGCCAATTACCATGTCTGTGCGGCGCATGTGGTCCCGCACCTGTGCACCGAGGAGACGCGTCACGCGCAGTGGACGGGGAAAGGGCTGTCATGCTTCTCTCGGCGTTGGACAAGTGCGGTGCCCCCCTCGAGATGCCCCCCACCGTGCGTTGGTGCGGGTGTCTGTGTGTGTGATTGAGCAATCGAGCCTGCAATGCGGGTAGCATCGGCTCCGCCACGCAGTCGCCACGCGCGCGCAGACGGTCAAGGAGGCGTGCATTGGCGCCGCAGAGCGCCACCACCTCCAGCGCGGGCCAACGCCGTTTGAGCGCATCGACGACCGCCTCGACGCGCATCGGAGGCATCGCGCCAAAGCTCACCAACGCGCGGCGCGGCTCTTGCGGCCGGCCGAGCAGGGCACCACACGCGTCCTCCTCGGGCTCGTCCCGCTCCTCCTCCTCGGGCTGCGCCAGTTCACCGTGCTGCACCATGATAGAGTCGGCCGACGGTTGCCTCGAGTGCCGCTTTGCTGCACGGTGGAAAGTCGGATGGACCACCATGCCACTCGTGCGGAGCTGAGGCGGGGCGGGGCGGGGCGAAGGGGGGGTGATTGAGAAGGGCGGTCGGGGTGCGGAGTCTAGGAAGGGAGGCCGAGGCGAAGCGCGAGCAGGAGAGGCGCAAGAGCCGAGCATGGCAGGTGGCACAACACACCACATCGGAGGGTGCATAGCCGAGCTGCTTGCACTGCTGCTGCAAGGTGGACGTGCCGGCGACGATGATATGGCGCACCGCGCCGCCGCGCCGCCGCTCGTCCACCCACGGGTGCTCCGCCTGCGTGCGTTGGCGAGGGGCGGAATGGACCGGCCGTCTTGACATTTCGGATCATGCGAGGGTGGGTGCGGGGGGTGGGGGGGGGGAGTAGCCACCGAGCTGGCAAAGTCAGTCACGACGGTGATGAGCGTCGCGTTCGGGTTTACTGTCTCCAACGCGTCCCGCATGTGCGAGTTGAAGAATGGCACGAATGAGACGATGAGGTCTGGGGGGGCTTCCGACCACAGGCGCACGAGCCCACCAACGATGCGCGAGCGGAAGAGGTAGGTGAAGACACGGACGAAGAGGCCGAGGAAGCCGGCGGTCACCATCCACCCGTGCCGCAGTAGCAGGTTGTACACCTCGTCACCGTCAAAGCCGCTCGCTCGCGGCTCCTTGAGCCCCCACACGCATGCCTCCACCGTGTATCCAATGTCAAAGGTCTCGACCACGTCCGAGTCGCTTAGCGAGCGAGGTAGGCTATCAAGCACCGCGCGCGCCGACGCTTTGTGGCCCCCACCGCCGTGGCCGGCGGCGAACAAGATGCGGCGGGGCATATATGTGTACACGAGGCGCTCTGAAAGCGGTTCCACCGGGCGCGCCCGCCGTGGCCCGTCGTGGATCTGGGAATCGTCAGAATGCACAAGCGGGCCCAAAGCTACAGCTGTGAGAGACGTGCAGGATGCAGGATGCAGAATGCGGAATGCAAAAACTCACCCACAGCCAGGAGAGAGCGGACAGAGTACCGATGCAGGATGCAGGTGCAGAATGCAAAAACTCGCCCAATTATAGGTACGGCTCTCTAAGGAGAGGCCAAAAAAGAGTCGTACAGAATGCACAATGGCTGTTCTTCACCTTTCTACCTACCTACTGCACAATGCAGGTGCAGAATACAGAATCCCACCCAAGAGTGCACTGTGTGTGCAGAGTCTGTCTGTATGGTGCAGATGCTCTCTATACAGACTGCAAACTGCATGCAACATGTCTCCCCGTCTCTGTTCTCTGGGTTCTCTTCGAGGGTTCGCTCTTACTGACGTACGAGTTCGTCAATCTAGCGCGAGAAACCGCCATCATTTAGTTACGGCATTACGGGTGAGCCACGTATGAAAGAACCAGGCGCTCTCCAGAGCCGTATGGTACACGAAACGCCACCCCCACACAGGAAAGGTGGCTTCGTGTGAGCTAGCTGCCGATGGTGGCTCCCCCCTGGTGCTGTCGGGGCGGCGACGTGACGGCGTCCTTGATGGCGGCTATTGGCAGTCGGGGTTGAAGTCGGCGGCCATGCCGACGGGCCGCATCGCCGGGAAGAGCAACACCTCCTTGATGGACTCGTTGTCGGTCAGCAGCATGCACAGCCGGTCGATGCCCATGCCCCACCCCGCCGTCGGCGGCAGGCCGTACTCGAGCGCCTGGTGGTGTGGAGAGGGCTCGTCGAGGAGGCGCCCGTTCACACACAGCAGTCGGCCGCACGCCCGCCGGCCCGGGTGGGTGGGCTTGGTGGGGTTGGGGTGGTGGGGGAGTCTCGGACGGGGCCCGGCGCCGTGATGAAGCCGTCGTCCACGAACATCGCCTCGTCGTCGCCCGCAGCCTTTCCTTCGCCTGCGAGAGGCGGCGCACCCGGGGCTTGGCCAAGGAGGCCCCCAAGGTGAAAACACCCCCCCTTCCCCCCCCCCCTTTCCCCCCCCCCCCCCTCCCCCCCCCCCGCCCGCCCACACGCCGCCACGTCGCCTGCGCCGCGAAGCGCGCGCGCTGCTCCACGGGGTCGTTGAGCTCCGTGTACGCGTTGCACATCTCGTGGTAGTTTGCGAAGAGCTCGAACCGCTCCGTCAGGCCGGGCTTGGACCTGGTGGATTAACCCCTTCCTCAACTAGCGAATCCACGAGTGGACTAATCAACCGCTCCGCCAGGCGGTGTCACGAGGGGTGCGTGCTGCTCTCCTTTGGTGCCATATCGTCCCATCTCTCCCCATGCCCCATCTCTCCCCATCTCTCCCCATCTCTCCCCATCTTCGCCATCTCTCCCCATCTCTCCCCATCTCTCCCCATCTCTCCCCATCTCGCCATCTCTCCCCACCGGTGGTCCTTCGCGAGGGGCGACATGATCTTCGGGTGGTCCGTGATGAAGGTCGGGTGCAGGCACTGCGACTCGAGGAACTCGCCTGTTCACAGCTAGAGGTGTGAAGAGACGCCGTTCACACCGCAGGCACTGCGACTCGAGGAACTCGCCTGTTCACAGCTAGAGGTGTGAAGAGACGCTGTTCACACCGCAGGCACTGCGACTCGAGGAACTCGCCGACGAGCTTGTCGAGCAGCCGGTAGGTGGTGAGGGGCGGCTTGCACTCGACGCCGTGCTCGGCGCACAGCCCCTTGAGGAGAGCGTCATCAATTAATTATTACACGGACCGAATATGAATTCATACTATTAGGACAGCTCCTTGAGGAAAGCGTTGGTCTCGTAATAATATAATAATACAATCCTAGAATCATATAATAATACAACAATAGCTCCTTGAGGAAAGCGTTCGTCTCGTCCGACTCAAGCGGCAGCGGGATCTTGACGCCTGCAGCCTCGCGCAATCTCGGGTGATCTCGGGTGATCTCGAGAGCGGCAGCGGGATCTCCACGCACAATAATAGTAACAATGAGGA